CCCTCTCTCCCCTCTCTCCCCTCCTCTCCCCTCCTCTCTCCCCTCTCTCCCCTCTCCCCTCTCCCCTCTTTTCCTCTTCCTCCTTCCTCCCCCCCTCCCTCCCCTTCCTCTTCATCCTCCCCCTCCCTCTCCCTCTCTCCCTCTCCCCATCCCCTCCCCCTCTCCCTCTCTCCCTCTCCCTCTCCCCCTTTCCCTCTCCCTCTCCTCTCCTCCCTCTCCATCTCCCTCTCCCCCTTTCCCTCTCCCTCTCCCTCTCCTCTCCTCCCTCTCCTTCTCCCTCTCCCCCTTTCCCTCTCCCTCTCCCTCCCCTCCCCTCCCTCTCCCTTTTCCTCTCTAAAAGATACAGTTTCTCTATGTAGCTCTGGTTGTCCTGGTACTCCCTCTAGATCTGCCTCTGCCTCCCTCCAAAGTGATGGAATTAAAGACATACACCACCACTTCTGGCTTCAGCCCAAGTTCTTATCAGTCACAAGGAAATGGCTCCGTCTTACAGGGTTGATACAGGGTCACATGTCCTCCCATCCAATTACCTCAAGGTAAGAAAGAGGCTAGAAGCAAAGTTATAACCGAACTGTTTTTAATTGGATGAGGAAAAAGAATGTGGTTAGTGAGTTTGCAGAATATATTTTAAAATTCTGCTGACCACAGAATTCCCAGCTTGTTTCTCCACTTGTCTTCTAGAACAATCTTAAAATCGAAATTGGCCTCACAGAGGCTTCAGGCTGCCTTTAGTAATTTAAACAACTTCAAGATCTCTGGAATTCAGTTGAGAACGGACCACCTATTGGTCAATAGAAGGAGTTACAAGGTGGGCTATTCCTCCAGGGTTGGTGGGGCTGTTTGAGAGGATTGTGGAACCTCTTGGAGGTGGGGTGGGTCTCTGAGATTGGACCTGGAGGGTTCGAGGCAGCAAAAGATTAGCTTCCTAATCCACTGAGCTGTGACTGTGCAGCTGCCCTGAGATTCAGCCACCATGGGGCCTCCTGCTGCCAGGATTGACTGCGGCCTCCTCAGACCATCAACATAAATAAGCTTCCCCTCCCATAAATTGCTCCTTGCCAGGGTTTTGGTCACAGCTATGAGAAGAGCAGAGTGTGTTCATGCTCCATGCTTCCTGCCTCACCTTCTTAGGGAGATACACAGTGAGCAGGTATCCTATTCTTGGGTCTCACAAGAGTCCCCTGTGTTCCAGGATGGCAGGAGAAATTATTTTCAACTTGGAAACAAAGAAACAGGGGCACAAACACTTGGAAAAGTAAGCATGTTGAGAAGACATTAAGCCAGATTTTGCATCTGAATTACAGTACAGGCCACAAAACGACATTTATTCAGTGTCTCTTTTTTAAAATCTCGTTTCTGGCAGCATTTACATGTGGCATTGGGTGAAAAAAAAATAGCCATTGATCAGATTGCACATATTCAGTGTCCAATAAATGTTTGTAAATTAGTGCACTTGTGATACTTTAATACAATAAAGACTGGTAATTAGAATAAGCCAGTTAATGTATGAGATAAAAAATTTTCTGTACCTATGATGGATTCTGAGATTGTCTCACTAGTTTGCTAAGACAGGCACAGTTAAACTATGGCCTGTTAAAAACTGCTGATTTTAAAGATTTTTTTTATGTGCATAGATGTTTTGCTTGCATGTATGTCTATATATCACGTACACCTCATGCCTGAAGTGGCCAGAAGAGGGCAATGGATGCCCTGGGACCAGAGTTCCAGACAGTTGAGAACCACCATGTGGGTGCTAGGAACCTGGATTCTCTGGAAGAATAGCCTGTGCTCTTAACCATTGAGCTATCTGTCTATCACCTTAGGGGCTGCTCTGTGTCTTCTGAATGCATAACTATACATATACTCTCTGCTTGGACTAATCCATGCTGCAAGCTAGACATGTCAACATCCTCAGAACCAAGTAAAGTGTTTGTTTTCTCCTCTTGATGAACATTTTAAAACAATTCTGTAGCTTTGATATTTGAAGTAGGCTGAATCAGATGAATTGTTAATAATTGTACCCAAAATGACATTTTAGTGCAATAGGGTAGGCACATTCCTCTCTGTCCTAGTCCTTTATGGGGAATATGATTTGATTCAAGCCCAAGATTCACTCCCAATCTGAGAGTGCACACTCACAGGGAGGGGCCAGGCTGTATAAAAGGGAGGATGCATCTATGTTAAAGACACAATATCCTCACAGTAGAAGGAAACTCAATAGAAAATGAAACAGACAATTGACTGTCCCTAGGAGCTAAGAATAGAGGGCTTTCTCTGGGTCCAGGATGGTTGGTCAGTTAAGAAGACATTCTTTCTTTCCCTGGGAAGAGCTCCTGGATCTGGACACCACTGACTTGTGGAACTCCTAGAGGCTCATCTGCAAATGGCCTTCCTGGGACTGATTGGCTTTTTCTACAGTTCTCCTTGCCTACTTTCCAGCAGCCTGCGATCCTTCTTCAGGCCTGACTCTCACTCAACTGGTTTATCTGCACTCGGACCTGGAAGTTCTGCCATTTTCTGGTTCTTACTATTCATGGGTTTACCTTTGCTTTCTCCTTGTATTCCCCAAGGGAAGCAGGCCAGAAAATGATCACCCTTCAGTTTCAGCAAGAGACTTCCCCTGAGACCAAGCATGAGCCCATTGCAAACAAGGAATCAAAGTCAGTTCCTCTTTGATGATTTCTGACAGTGAACCTCTGTCAGCTTTCCACATCTTCACACACAAATCCAAAACAAGTCTTCCTGGCTGAAAACATAATATTTTCAGATCGGCTTAGTGCTTATTTTAAACCATAAAAACCCCTACCGTACCCATCACTCTCCATCACGACACTACCGTGGTGCCTAAGTCAATATTCCCCGAGCAGGCAGAGATTTAATTTTCTTAAGTAAGATTGAGCAAGTTCTCTTGAAGTATTGTTCTGTAGGCTTCATTGTGATTGCTCTGTGTGTGAAAAGCCCTCGGACTTTATCTTTCAATTACACTTGATATGCAACACTTGCTTGCAACACCTGTGGAAGAATTTTTAGGACCACCAAAGAAAGCCGGCTTTCAACTTATTAAATTAGTGTGCTTTCAATTTCCCATTATCTTTAGTTGCTCAGCCAGTGGTATTACAAGTTAATGCTTTTCCTCGGTTCCACCGAAACTTGAAACCTAAAGTCATTTTCTGCTTTATTGACTTGCAGGAGGGAAAAAAAAATCACTCTGAAATTATCCTGGTCATTAGACAGAGTACTTACAATTTTTTTGCCTTCTATTAACACCGTGGAATTATTTGTTTCAACGTTACGCAGTATGACACTCCCTTTCCGTTCTCTGTAGATGAATTCCTTATCTACAAGAGGGAAATAGAAAAGAAACACAAGTCATCCAGAAACCTGCCTCAGTGTTTGATAGACCTGTGTGAAATGAATTGTGTAGTTATCTCAAGAGGGGTGCTTTAAATGCAGTGTCTACTTCGTGCTCCAGCAGTGTAGCCTCCAGGGATGCTTGTCCCTCAGCCACCTCTGCTCTCCACAGACAGCAAAGCACATGTGTGTAGAGTTTGAGGATATGTAGGGCTTTCTTAGGTAGGGTATACAGAGTGGACACACCAAGCGGTTGGAGTCTGCTACTACAGGAGAGCAAAACAGTTGGTACAAAGGGACTGACAGCCTTGTGGATCTGAAATTACCCATGGCTACACCCTGAAGGCCAGCTTTCCTCTTCAGGCTCCTGGTGGATCTCTAGAAGGGTTTCCCAGTTTTCTGCCGTAGGCATTTTTGGAATCTATCGTCGACTGCCAGTGACTCTTGTCTCTCCAATTTCCAGTTATTTCCTTAGAAAATTGATAACTGGGGGCAATGACTCGGTGGATAATATGCTTGCTTTGAAAGTCTGATATCCTGAGTTTGATCCCCAGCACCCACTTAAAAATGTTGGGAATGGAGGTACATGTGTCTAATTCCAGCACTTGGGTGGCAAAGACAGGTGGATCTCTGGGGCTCAGTGGCTAGGCAGCCTATTCAGTGAGCTCCAGAGTAGTGAGACACCCTGTCTCAAATAACAGGATGGGCAGCATCCTGGGATGTCTGCTTTCCTTACATATGCACATATGTACCCACATGTACACTCACCGACCCCCCATAACAGATCACATACTAGATAGTGGACAAGTGTATGCAAATCTGTACCTGTGGGGAATACAGCGTCTGAAGGGTGGGCCTGTGGGTGGCCCAGTGTGGGGTTAGTTTCCAGTTAGCAAGCACTTAGGAGGCTGTGTATCTGTTTTATACAGAGCCCACAGAAAGGGCTTGCCACTTAATCTGGCACAGACCTATCTCCATTCATAATCTAGCTTTCACAATGAATGAATTTTTTTTAAAAAAAGATTCCTTTTATATATATGCTTGTATCTGTGTGGGAGCCTCTAGAAGTCAGAGGAGGGTATCAGATCCCCTGAAGATGGAGTCCCAGGTAGTCGTAAGCTATCTAATATGGAAGCTGGGAACTGAACTCAGATCCTGTGCAAGGGCAGTAAGCACTGTTAATCATTGAGCCATCTCTCAGGCCCCAAAATGGGTGAATCTGTCAGTCTAATCTGTGTTCACCTGGGAGGTTAGAACAGTGCCTCATAACACAGGTGAGTGTCCCTAACAGTGACTTTTAACAGGCAATGGCTCTGTTCTAAGAACCACCACCTCCGTAGGGAAGCCATCTCCACACCTGCTCAACAAACCTGTTTGATAAGTTAAAACAACAGCAACCCTAAAAACTGCCCAAAGAAACAAACAAGCAAAAGACCCAAGAGAAGAAGGTGAATAATCTGAAAAGAAGAGAGGAGGAAGAGGAGGAGGAAGAGGAAGAAGAGGAGGAAGAGGAGGAAGAGGAGGAAGAGGAGGAAGAGGAGTTGGATTTGGAGTCAGAGACACAAAAGGAGAATTGGGGTGTTTAAAAAAGACAATTTCCTTCAACTCTATGTCATGTACTTTGGGGGTACAACAGCAGATTGTTATATTGACTGATATGAGTGAGATTCAGAAAGGCAATGCCCTGTGATTTCTCTCATCTGTGGATTCTAGATTACATGTAGACATATCAAACTTTTTACACTAATATATGTCAAAGATGATGTGGCACTGGGGAAGGGAGGTCAGAGAAAGAACCCAAGGTAGGAACCTGGAGGCAGTAGTTGATGCAGAGACCATGGAGGAGTGCTGCTTACTGGCCTGTTCCCCATGGCTTGCTTTTTACACCACCTAGGACCATCTCCCAGGACTGGTACCTCCTATGCATAGGCCCTTCCACATCAACGATTAGTCAAGAAAATGCCCCATACATGTTGCTACAGCCCAGTCTTTGGGATGGAATCCTTCAAGGTTTGCTCTTGCAAACTGACTCCACTTGGTGTCAGACTGAGAAGAACTAACCAATACAGTTTGTTTTCCTGGTCCACAATGTATTTCTGTCTCCTAAGAGTCATGTTGACACTAAAGTCATTTTTAGGAGATGGATTTTGATCATCAGGTCATATGTCAGCCACAAACTCTCTGACATTTTATGGCATTGCAATAATCACTTAGCTATTATTTGATTATTTCTATTGATTAATATAAAATTAATTGTCATTATTGCAGCTTTACTCACTGTAAGTTTTATTCATAGTCCATTAAAAAAAAAAGAGAGATTCCTTAAGAGGATTTTTACTTCCAAAACCAGGTCAGTTAACACAGGACAGACACGGTTCTAGGCCTGGGGAACATCATCAGAATACCAGGGTCAACGCCAGAGACTTGAAGAGGCACATCTGCTTTATTTTGATGTTAGATGGGGGGGGGGGGCACTTCACTATTGAATTTGAGAGTCTGAGTCTGTGATCTTCTATTGCTTTATTGTTGGGTGGTCTTACGTTTTAAGGTTGTTAACTACTATATAATGCTTTTCCCCCAACACTGAGGTCACCATGTGAGTTTTTGTCAATCCAAGGAGTTGTGGTTTTAGATGTACTCACAGGACCAGTTCCAGCGCTATAATATGCTGCTTCCCAGAGTCTTGGTTCTAATCTTACGATGCCTGGCTCAGGCTCTTGCCTATGGCATCATGGGGAGTAGTGACTAGCTTTGGTTCTTTTGCCTGGGGCTTAGCTTGTGTAGCTCTAGAGTAAGAGCATTATTGGTTTCATCACACGAGTTGAGAAGTATTTGGAGCAGCTCTACCTTATAAACAAATGTAGCCTGGATTTGCGTATTTTTAAATTACACCATCTGGGACTCAGGTTTTCTTGGAGGAAGGTTCGAGATCCCCAACTTAAGTTCTTCACTTGACACGGAGCCATTTACATTTTCTACTTATTCTTGGGTCTGTTTTGATAATGTGGATCACTCAAGAAAACTGTCCAAAAACTCACGTGGTGACTTCAGTATTGGAGGAAAAGCATCATGTAGCAGTTAACAACCTTGAAACATTTTAAAAAGAGTATAGAAAGGAAGACATTTCTTTTCCCATTCATAGTAAAAGGGCAGATGAACAAGAGGAAAGTGAAAAAATTAATAAAAAAAGAGTTTTATTGAACAAGACACTTAAGGGGAGAATCAGGGAAATAGGGGAAGCGTGTATCTTTTTCTAAGCTTTGGGCTAGTGGAAACAGGATGGGACCAAGGGAGTCTGATCACACAGTGACAACCTGTGTGCTCCCTGCCCCTGTCCTTTGTCCTTCAGTGATAGGAGCACCCCCATTTCTATGCATGTCAGGAAGGTACTTCTTGAGTGGCTTTAGGACTTGCTTTAGAGCAATTCATAGAATCCTTGGCATCCTGCTTCGGAAAGGAGGACAGGCCAGTGGACTCCTGCTTCCACTATTGTAGTGAGCGTTGGATCCTGGTGTGTTGTATTTGGGGGTCTCTTGCCTTGATCCTAGCAGTATAAACTTTGCTACTAATACCACGTGATTACCATTTTAGGAGGTTGATAGCTTATGATTTCATAGGATAACATGTTTTCTGGAAAGGGCAGTTTGTAAGCTTATCCCTCCAGACTATAGATATTCATTGGTTTTATTGACTTTTGCAAAGAGTATCATTTTGACAACATCATTTCCATCTCAGCCCTTGACTTCATGATTCAGCTACTTTCTTCTCTAGTTCTTTTTGTTGTGTTTACTTTAGCCTTAATATGGTCTTTTTTTCTAGCATTTTAAGGGTGAGCACTGGGTCTTTGGTGTAATAGTTTCCACCCTTTCCAAAAAAAAAATGCTGTCAAAGCTAACCAATTTGCTTCTATGGATGGCAACAGATGCATCTCACATATTTTAAAAGATAGACTTTTGTTTTGTTTATGGCTGTGTGTGTTGTGTGTCTCTGTGAATGTATGCCTATGCTAATGGAGGCTGGAAGAATGCCTTGGGTTCCCTGCAACTGTGGTTGCAGGAAGTTGTGAGGAGTCCACTGTGAGTGCTGAACCTGAGCTCAGATCTCCCGGAAGAGCAGCCTATGCTCTTAACTGCCAAGACATTCTTTAGCTCCTAGGTCTTACAATTAAAACAGGTTTACTTTATTTTATTTATGCATGTTACTGTGTACATGTATGTGAACATGTATGTTCAGGTGCCTCAGCAGAGGACAGAAGAGGGCAACAGATTCCTTGGAGCTTGAGTTACAGGCATTGGTGAGCCATCTCTGTGGTGGTTGCTGGGACAGAAAAATCTAATCCTCCTGAGGGAGCAGTGAGGACTCTGAACCACTGAGTCACTTCTCTGGGCCTCAATCTCAAAAATTTTAACATGGTGAACTGTATAATTAGTCATTTCATATTACTCAAATTGATCTACAGATGTAACACAATCTGTATGCAAATTTTAATGTCATTTTATTTTTTTTTACAGAAGTTAACAAAAATCGTAAATTCATGCAGCGCCACAAAGAATCTCACCTTGGCAAGACAATGCTCAATAAAAATACACAAAGTTGAGGACACCATACCCCTATTTCAAAACCTGTGTCAAAGCAGCTATAGTGAAAATACTATTGTGCTCACATGTGCATGCACGTGCAAACACACACACACACACATACTTAATTAAAATTTTAGAGGATGTAATAAAACATTGACTTGGGCAGTGATTTTTGGAGTAAGATCCTAGAAAACACAGCAGCAAAAGCAAAAGCCCCAGCAAGTGACTTGGCAGAAAACTCAAATGTGTCTCTATTTACCAATTTTAGCTGCATTTTATTACACTAGTTTGGCTGTGGCTACCCTAGTGATTGTAATATAAGCCTTTAACTCTTCACAGCTGACAAACTCTACTTCTTATGAAATGTAGAAAAATCTCTTGAGCCTCCAGGGCCCATCTATTCCCAT